AGAGTTAGTATATATTTATATTTATAGTATATATATATATACACATATATATGTGTGTGTGTATATAATACATGGTTATATTCAAGTCAATGAAATAATAACTTTAATAAATAAAATATGTTCATAAGAATGTGGTGGGCCAGTGATTCCCTTCTCTTCCAAAGATTGCTTCCAAAGATAAAACCCTTTTCAAACTGTATCGTTTAGACCTGTATCGTTTTTTATAGTCTCTGTAGATATATTTGAAAAACGAAAATAAGCAATCAGTCTAGTTGCTTTTAAGATTTATTTTATGTCTGCATTTAGCTGGTGCACGCACAGCCGCAATACCGAGAGAAAATGTAGGCTGAATAATATATTCTTTAATCTAAACGACTCAGAAAAACTTTGGCTAAAACCACTTCTTGGTTCGCCACAAATCTTTTTAAATGCATTAAAAGGCAAGCATATATATCTTGGGTATATAAAAAACTGAGTTGAAGCTAAATTATTAAAAATAAACTTGCGGGACTTAATTAATTTAATTTGTGGGACTTAATTTATTTTTTATTATAGTTTTAGTGATCTGCTTAAGGTAGGTCAATTTATTTTCATGCTTTTGATGAAGCAGCAATCAGCTTAAGCTCTTTACACTATGCGCCGGACCGTTTCTCAGTGTGTCACTGTCTTTAAATAAATAACTATTTAGGCCTATATTATTAATTTATTTTTCATTTTTATTTATTATTATGTTCAATAATTGAGACATAAAATGGGAGGTCACGTGACCCTTGCACACGATGGTTGAAAGACACTAATGCTCCATCCAAACCCTCTTTCTTTTCTAGTTTAACAAGTTTATAAGTATCAACAGTCAGTATTTTCGACGTGTGAAAGTATTACTTAAATGTATGCAACCAGGAAACAAGACTCTTCTCCATCTACAACCCCCTCGGGAAAGAAAAAGATGAAGCTAGTGTAACATATTGTAACCTGCATTCTGGAGATAAACATTCCATTTAACATTCCAGAAAACAATCTGGGTGAATCGCCAGGACAATAAAATCACTTGGTGACGAAAAGTCTGGCTTGGTAATCCCTTGGTGACATGTTAACAAGTCTGGGAGACTTCACAGAACCACTCTCTGCCTACTTCAAAAGAACGTGACAGATAAGATAAGAAAAGGAAAAAAACCTCTTTAGCCAACATTCTGCTCACAGACAAGACATTCCTCAAAATTAAACAAAGACATTTATAACCCAAATCTCTTGTTTAATTTCATTTAACTTTTGTAATGTGTACAATACCTGATATAGACTATACACATTCACGCTTGCAGGCCTTTTTAAAAGCATCAAGGATGTAAGGATATGGGAACTATGTGATGTACTTGTAGAGTGTTTGGTGTCAATAGAATGCCCTGGACATTTTATAACACATGATGCATAGATCGAGACCATAACTCGCATTGCTTTATTCTTTAAAGCCCTGTATTAAATGCCTGTCCGCATGCTTTAGGCGGGCGCTCAAATTTGCATACGCGCAGCCCAGAGACAAAGGAAGGTTCGCGCGCAAACTTTCCCCTGAAATCATTGGTCAGAATGCTGTACGGGTCGTCACGTGACCCGCAGGTATAACTCATTCTGCCCTCCCAAACATCTGGCAGAAAGAGAACGTCCCAAAAGAAGAACATCATTTGTCGGTGGCCTTCGGGCCACACGTGGCTTCCTAAGCCGCATGGACTTTTTCCCGCCACGTTTTCTTTATTTTCCGGCAATGTAAATTCAGTTTAAAGTTTGCGATCGTGTTCGTCCGAACTGCATTACAAACTCCACGCATCAAAGGACATCAAGAGTTGTTTTCATCACGACGGAAGAGAGACGCATAAAAGAGACCTCCAGACATGAAAAACCAGGTGATTTTAGTTATGCGATTAAGCTGTGCCCCTTTTATCAAAAAGGTGTTTTTTATATAACCTTGGTGGTCCTTAATGGTGCGTGTGGAACTGAAAGTTTTGTCACTCTTTAATCTGAAATCTATATTTTCTAGCTTTACTATTTCTCTTTGCTGTTACACGTTCTATAGACCCGATATCTTCACGTGGTTTACCTTTGTTCTGTGTTAAATGTATGTTTGTGCGTTTGTTTGTTCGTTACGTCTGACTAGTCAATAAATTCCATTATAATCAAATGAATTGTATTGTTTGCCTCACGAGAAAATGTCACTGAAATACAGATTCCCCTGCCTAGCTATTATAAGTTGTTTAAAACTTTTGAATGATTAATCTACTTCACAAGAAGTAGCAATTAAATTCCCTTTTTCTAAATGAATAGATTACAGTGTCCGCTCGGAAGAGCGCGGAATATTAATGATTAACAATAATTCGTTATTGTTGATAATTAATATTCATAATCTGGGAATCCGCTCGGTTGCGCGAGCATGATCATTTAAAATCATATGTTGGTTTGACCAAGCTGACTGAAGCTTAAGCCGGAATATTAATAATTAAGAATAAACCGTTGTTGTTGATTATTAATATTCATAAAATGAGCTAATTTCATGCTACACTAGTTAGCACTGAAGATAATCTAACCGACGTTATGGCGGAGGCGCTTTCGAAACAACAAATCTTGTTGGAAATAACGGTTCAGAATGCTATACAAGCAACAATGGAAGATGTTAAATCATCTCTGATAGAGCTCCGCCAAGAAGTACAATCTCAAACGAACACGGTATGTGACTTGATTTCAAAAGTGGGGGGGGGAGTGGTTGTTGCGTACTGAAGAGCGGTGTTGTTGCGCGCGTTCTGATCAGCTGTGTTGTCGCGCGCATACTCAAGAGCGGTGTTGTCGCGCGCCTACTGAAGGGCAGGACCGAGGGTGTGCCGCGTCGCGGGGGCACTTTTGATCATTTTGGAAGGGCACTTTCTATCCAAGACTAAAAAGGGCAGGTTGAGCCCTATGTGTGCATGTGCCTGAATATACATATGTCACAAACACGTTACCACTTAACAAGCGGATGACCACGCATCTGGTGTGAGACGTAAACTGTCTTTTCACGGTCTTTATCCGCGCCTTCAGAGTCAATGGATGAATAAAAAGTCCATAAATGTGTTTGGAATAAACACCTCTGCTCTACATGTAAAACATACAATTTAATGTTCTGCTTCAGAGAACTTGAGAGTTGAGATAAGTTCATTTATTCACGTATTATTTCATACCTTGTAGGGGTTGTTGTTGTTGTTATTATTATTATTATTATTTTTATTTTATTTATTTATTTTTTTTCATTAGTAAACTTATGTTTTGTGCATTTCGTGTATTTTTTTCTTTTCTTTTTTATATTAATTAATTATTATTTATTTTTAATTTAATTATTTCAAATGTTTTAATCATTTACTCTAGTTATATATGACTGTCATTAATGTTCATAGTAAGTATACAGTTATGTTTTGTGGTTAATGGAAGAGGGTAGTCGACGTTGACTTTCTAGTGAACAAAGGTGTGTGCTGCCACGGGCCCTTATGATGTTGGGGAATTTTGCAGTCTCGGGGTATTTGTTCATTTTATTTTTCTGTACTTTTTTTGCATTGTTTCGGTTTAAATTAGGCAGTCATATTCTGGTTGTGGAAAAACTCTTAAAATTCGTATAATTTTTCAAATAGATTATGGATAACTACAAAATTATATCACTTAATGTTAGAGGACTGTCCAAACAAGAGAGCTAAACTTTTGATTTATTTACGGAGAAAAAGGGTTGATATCGCTTTAATTCAAGATACACATCTGAAAAATTCAGATGTTCAGAGGTTACAGAATAAGTTTTATAAAGTTGCAGCTTTTTCTACTGTTAACACTAAAACTAAAGGCACTATTGTTTTGATATTGCGCATCTGTAACATCAAGATTGATAGACAAAGTCAAGATCAATCTGGTAGACTTGCCTATGTTTGTACTAATATAAGGGGAAAGAAAATTGCATTTGTTTCTATCTATGCCCCTATAGTATTCGAGGTAACATTTTTTTGAAGATGGCTAACCACTTGATTCCACTTATAGATTACTCACTGATTATTGGGGGGGGACATGAATGCAGTTATTGATCCAGTATTGGACAGATCTTCCTCCTGTAATCAAGTACAGCTTAACTCTTCGGCCGCGCTCAAAAATTTTGTAAGGGCATTAAATTTGGTCGATATTTAGAGATCTTAAAACCCTTCAAGTAGAGACTACACATTTTTCTCAACAAGGCATCTCATGTATTCAAGAATACCTCGCTTTTACTGAATAGCCAGTTCGATGTAGACTTCAAAGCGAAATTGTTTGAATTTCTTTTATTTAATATAGGCTCTGTTGAGGACCCCATATTTGTGTGGGAAGCTACAAAAGGTTTTATAAAAGATTTCTCCTTAGCTTTTGCTACTAATTTTAAAAAAAATCAGAGAATTGACTATGTAGAAAAAGAATGTAAATCACTTGAATATTCCCTAAAATCTTCATTCTCCAAGTTGACAGTTAAGTAACTTCAGGCTTCTAAAACTGAACTAAATGATCTTCTGAGAATGAAAGCAGAATTTATACTCCACAGAACCAGACAGAATTATTACTCTAATGATGCTAGACCAAGCAGACTTTTAGCCCTTAGACTTAAGCAAAATCAAGCAAAAGTGTATATTGACGTAACCAATCACCCGGCCAAAGGACGAGTTAGGACTACCAAAGAAATTAACTCAGCATTTTCTGACTGCTTTTCTAAACTTTATATATCTGAACGTACTCTCTCAAGTCATAACTGTGCTTCCTTCTTGCAATTTCTAATTTTACCACAGCTCAATAATGAAGAAGCAGAACAGTTAGGGCAACCTATTACTCTAGAAGAACTTAAAGAGGCATTACAGGGTGCTAAAAAAGGCAAGGCACCAGGTTTAGACGGGATTCCCGCAGAGTTATTTCTTAAATATTTTGATCTTCTCGATCCTATCTTTTTGGCTGCCATTCATGAAGCAGTAAATACTGGGGCCTTTCACCCTCAGTTGAATATAGCACTTATTTCGCTGATCCCAAAAAAAGGAAAGGACCACTCAAACTGTGCAAATTACAGACCCATTAGCCTGTTAAATACAGATATTAAAATGTATGCTAGAATTTTAGCTTTGCGATTACAACAATACATTAATAAATTAGTTCATCCAGATCAGACTGGCTTTATGCCAGGTAGATTAGCATCAGACAACATCCGGAGATTACTACATGTCATACACGAGGCCCGGGATTGTCCTACTCCAGCTGCAGTTCTTTCCTTAGATGCAGAAAAGGCGCTTGACCAGCTGGAGTGGGACTATCTCTGGTCTGTTTTGGAGGTTTTTGGCCTTGGTACTAATTTCATTAATACAATTAAGGTATTATGTAGAAACCCAACAGCTTCTGTTAACTAATGGTCTACATTCTTCACCTTTTAATTTAGGGCGCGGCACTAGACAGGGGTGCCTGTTGTCCCCCATGCTATTTGCTTTGTCGCTTGAGCCACTAGCACAGCTGATAAGACAAGAAGATATGTGTTCATTTTCAGTTAAATCACAAACAATGCATATCTCTTTATGCCGATGATATAATATTGTTTATCTCAGTTTTACAAACGTCATTTCCCCTAATACTGAATAAATTTGGAAAGTTTAGTATGTTTTCCGGACACAAAATCTACTGGGATAAATCCTCTATGCTTCCTCTCAACTCCATAGCTAAACATATTAAGCTGTCATGTAATGTCCCCATACGAAATTCCATAACTTATCTAGGCATTGCTGTTCAGTCATCTTTGCTAACTATCCCGGACGCTAACTATCTGCAAGTATAATCTAGGGTAGAACTGTCATGGTTTGTATATCCATCTGCTCCTTATTTGAAGTGTCTTAGTTGTATGGCAGTTCATTATCATAATACGTGTTTCTAAGTATGTGTGCTTTTCCTTCTGTGTTTGTGTGGGTGTCGCGTGGCTGTCAGTGGGTGTTTGTTTTCATGTCATCAGCTGAGAAGTCACATGATCTTGTTACCGGAACTGTTGCGTAGCGCCGCTCTACAGGTGTAGTGCATTTTATGTGCCTATAAATGTTCAGCGTTTCTGTCTCACTTTGTCAGTTCGTTGTTTGCTCACGGTTCTTTGTGTTTTGTCAGGCTCCTCTCTTCGCTGGTGGTGAGTGGTCTGGTTGTTTTCCATGTTGCTGTCTCTGATGCTTCCTGTTTCTTCATGATGAATGTGTGATCCGCTCTGATGATGAGTTACATCTGAGACATCCCTGTTTCTTCTATGATAAATGTTTTATCTGCTCTGTTGATGAGTATTATGAACATTTGATCAGCGCTGCCGAACCAGACCACCACCTATTATTCACCTGTTCAGTGCCTCCAGCCACTCACCATTTTCCTGTCTTTTTGTGAGAACAGTATTAAAGACTTTTGTTTTACTTACAGTTGGCTTCCTCACCTTTTATGTGACGTGACAAGAACAAGATCTCCAGGTATGGACCTCAATGCCTTTATCATTGCATGCTAACTCTTTCAAATTTTGAATTAAACCATAGAGGTTTTCAAATAAAATGTATTCATGTTTGGCTGAACCCACTATCTAGAGTTCCTTGGAGACAAATTGAAATGAAACTAGCTGATAAATATAGATTACAAGATATTCTGTTTTCTGGGCTAAATAACAAGCAGTGTATACAAGCTTTTGGTCCAATTATTGGCAATACGATAGTGAAGTTTAAATTAATGGAAAAATGCATTCATCATTCACCTAAATGGCACATCCATACACCTATCTGGAATAATAAAGATCTTAGATCTGGGGGTGCACCATTTCTTTTAAGGAAATGGATGCAGAAAGGCATTTATACACTAAAAGATATTTCTGGTTCTAATGGCATATTAAGTTTTCAAGAACTTTGTGAGCGGTATGAAACAGAACCTTCCTCTCTATTTTTATATCTGCGATTTAAGATCGGCCATGAAGGCCTACGGGGTTCCTTGGAGGGACAATCTTCCCACTCATCCAATCATTACTTGGTTTAATCTGTCCGTTACTAATCATTTATATACAAAGGCCTTAGAAGGTACAGCAAAAAAAATTAGCTGTACAGTGCTGTTGGGAAACTGATTGACAACTAGAAGAGGGTGTCACAGACTGGGAAAGAGTATGGCAGAACATTTTTACTTCATCTAAAAATCTTAGTCACCAACTCATTCACTATAACTTTTGTCATAGAACCTACTGGACCCCTCTCAAAAGACATTGTATAAATGCCTCCTTTAGTCCTTTCTGTGATAAATGTCCTAACTAGGAACTTGGATCTTTTTTACATATGATGTGGGAATGTGAGAAAGTACAAAGATTTTGGAATGAGATATGTGTCATCCTATCAAAAATTATTGAATATCCTGTACCATTGAATCCTTCTGTTCTATTACTGAGTGATGATACTACGTTGAACCTTACCAAGCTAACAAATGCTGTTTGGCTGGCTGGCTTAACTTCTGCTAAAAAATTACTAGCCCAACATTAGCTGCCTCCACATAATTTGGACATGTACAAGTGGTTGGTACAACTTCCACGGCGCGAGTGAACAGATCTGGAATATAGCTGCTGACAAAATCTCCTTGTTTATTGCACAAAGAAATGATCAGGATGCAGAATGATTGCCTTGCTTTGTATAATTGATATTTGATACTGTATTCTGTTTTTGTTTTTATGTTAACTTCTATTCATTGTAAAGCCCAGTTTCAAGAGACCGCAGGGGAGGGGGGTGGGTTTTTTTTTTAATTGATATGTTTCATTATATAGGTTTTTCAGCCTGTATGTTTTGTTAACAATTAATAAAAAAAATAAAATAAAATAATTGAGACATAAAATGAGTCAACGAAAATGTAAATAAAAACGTAACTGAAAACATATAAATGAAAAAGCTTATTTAATGACTGTCTTAGTTCTATCAAAATAGCAAACACTGAACATCTCAATATTTAGGCTAAAAGACTGCTTTATTTATTTATTTAGGCCTAATTATTTGTACTGAATGTTTGTGCTTTCATTTTAGTTGTCTTTTAATTCTTCTACTTTCCAAAGGGAATCCTCATTGCACTTAACAAGTTTACAATGATAATAAGGTGTGTTAACTAATTTTTTATAATTAAAGAAGTAATTATAATGCTTTGATTTACCATTTCATCTTCATTTATAAGTACAGTAGCATATTTACAGCTGCTGTACAGGCTATTTCTGTCCATTCGCATCCCGTCCCATTGTGCCCCCTGGCATATTCACAAACTGCGATCATACATTAAAAACACGTGCTTGCCCATTTAAAACGGTGCTGGTATATGCCACGGCAGTAGTAGCCACATTGAACTCTCACCTGTAAAAGAAATTGTGAAAAATTAAAAGTCTCTATAAGGAATTTTGCCTTTAGGAATTTTAAATGACCCTTTTTGTAAAGACATGTTTTGCAACTAATACCAATGTTTTTTTATGATTTTCAGCTATGCACTATTGTCTTCTTGAACTATGCCCATGACATGTACCCCTTGTACAGATAGGCTGCATATCCATAGTCACTTCATAAAATAACTTGTTGCAGGCAGTGATAATATTTTTCACCTCATTCTAAAAATAAATGGGTGGTAATCTTATAATAAATTATAAGCTATTGTAAGGGTCCATCGTCCAGCTGTAAATAGATTACTAAAAATTATTAAACTTTCGTTATATGAATCCTATTTTCACCCCTATTCTTATCTGACTATAATTTATATTAATTTAAATTTATTGTAAGTGATGTTGACGTGGCACAGGGCGATACTGCTACGGCCGGGGTGAATGAGCAGCAGCAGTCTGCGGATAATGCGAATAGTTGCGAAGATGATGAAAACACAAACAATGTTGCCATGGCACAGGCCGATCCAGTTCAAGTTGAGACGAACATGCAGAGAGTTCCCGGACAATTTGAATACTTGTGGTTTTAGTATGAGATATAAAAAGGGAATAAAGCATTATGCAGCCTCAGAGGGCGTTGGTGGCATGGAAGAAAACAATGGAAATGTTTTTAAAAATTACAATGTCGCTGAAGCAGCATTTTTTTTTTGGTCTAGTGTAACAAATATGGCCGATCAGACACCTAATTATTTTGCTTTTATTCAAGAAATGCGTCAGCAAACACAACACCAACTTCTGTCTAGGGAAAAGACTGAATGGTCAGTTGTAATCTGATTCAAAGGTATTTATGACCCAAAGGAATGTGCTCACAGCACTGGACAGAGACATGGTCAGAACATCTATAGGCTCCTTGCTTGATGTTTTAACGTAAACTTTTATTCTCTCTTTAAGTGTACTCATGTGTTTTGCGATGTTTCCTTTGCTCCTGTGTTAATATTATGGTTTTAATACTTCTGCAATTAATGTTTAACACTACAGCAGCTAAACAAGCTCATAAACAGTTCATGTTTGAAATCCTTTTGTAGCTAATTTGGTGTACTAAACTATTGTTTACATTGTTTGTTAATACAAGTGCAACATATTAACATTTTTAAAAACTTAAACATTTCTGCCTCAGTTTACATCAAAATACCTATGCAAATCCCTATACATTTGAACAAAGAGCCATAAAGCATGTCTCAGGGAAGTTAATTTTTGATTGGTCAACTTGGCCCTGGAGGGTGGATACAAACCATCCTTATGAAGGTTGTACCCAAGGCCACCTCCCTAAGACAAAGGAAGGACCTAAAGAAACAGACACCAGAGAAGGAGGATCTAACCTGAGAAACTTAAGACAAAGGAAGAAACCAAAGACAGAAGGAGGAGACCTTAAAACCTAAGAAAGAGACCTAAGCAGAGAATGTTCGAAGTTACAGAATTAATCCTTCGTTTCCCGAGGAGGGGAACGGAAGTGCTATAGGTGGATTTGACTTAGAAATCTACTTAGGGGAGGTTTCGGTTCAGAAGCTGTTTGTCTGAAAGAGTATTGAACGGGCTAATGAAGAAATGAATTGGCAGCGTAAGTTTGCGCAGGTGTGCCTCATTGCCTCATGGCGCGAGCAAACGCCATCCATTTAAGCTGAAGACTTTTAAACAGCTAAGGGACAGTCATTATGGCGATGGAATATAGCACTGTCGTTCCCCGAGGAGGGGAATGAAGGGTTACCTCTGTAACCTCGAACGTTCCCCTTCGGTTGGGGAACTCCAGTGCTATAGGTGGATTTGACTTAGAAATCCACGTATGGGAGACTATGGAAAACGCCATAATGACTGCACCTTACCAACGTCTCCGATGAGAGGGCAGTCAGGCAAGCGTGACGTACCCAAATCATGGAAGGCGCGGTCCTCCAACGTGCCCTTGGCCCTAACTTATCCCACTTCAAAAGAAGTTTTACGGAATAGGCATATTTTTTTGGGAGTCGCTAGTGTTTAGATAATTCTAGGAAAATACGACAGTATGTTGGGAAGCGTGCACTCCCGGTAGGGAGGACGCTGCGGAGACCATCCGCACCCAATGGGAAGACAAAATGGTAATTACATATGGACTAGCCCTAAGAAGGGGGAGTGCGCATAAGAAGGTGGTTAGCAGATAGAGAAGGCACGGGTCCACCCGAGAGGGGGGACTGAACAGTGGCGGAAAAAGCATATGGGATCGCCAGTGGGGATCGCACATAGCCGGCACCTATACCCAAAACGCGGGCTGACCAGCGAGCAGACCTAACGTAGTGGGCCAGCAAGTGACTCCTCCGCTGAGTCAGTGCTGGGGGCCATGGAGGAATCTGCAGGGCTCACTGAACGGGGAACTTTACTGACAGACAGGAAGGTGCACATCTCTCCGTGTTAAGGAAAAAGGGCACCACAAGCATATTACAAGACCCCACCGAGTTGTTTCCTCAATCACCAAGGGTTACCTAATAACCCTTGAGGAAACCGGCTCCACTCGCAGATTGTAAATGTGTAATGTAATGTGTATTTATATAGCGCATTTATTGTGTATGGCCATACACCCAAAGCGCTTTACAATCATGAGGGGGGTCTCTCCACACCACCACCAGTGTGCAGCATCCACTTTGATGATGCGACGGCTGCCACAGGACAACGGTGCCAGTGCGCTCACCACACACCAGCTATCGAGCCAATTCGGTGGAAAGGGATGATTGGGAGGCCATGATCGTAAGGGCCGATAGAGGGACTTTGGCCAGGACACCGGGGTTACACCCCTGCTCTTTCACGAGAAGTGCCATGGGATTTTTAATGACCACAGAGAGTCAGAACCTCGGTTTAACGTCTCATGCGAAAGACGGCGCCCACTGACAGTGTAGTGTCCCCTTCACTTTTACTGGGGTATTAGGACTCACACAGCGCTTGCAGGGTTACTACCTGTTCTCTGAAGGGAGTGGTAGGAACCTTGGGCACATTACCCGGGCGGGGTCTCAGGATAACATGAGAAAAAGCCGGCCCGAATTCCAGGCACGAGTCACTGACCGAAAATGT